ATTTCTCACAGTGTCCACATTGGATAAGGACATAAGCTGAACAAACTTCTCTATATTAGGGTTAATACAATATTTCCCTCAAAGACTGGTAGGAAGTACATATCAAAAGAAAATGGTACTCGTTGTCTATGTTGCCATCATGACAACTGTGACATAACATATTTTCCCGTGGAAGATTTACACGTCTTCCCTGTTCAATATTTAGAGTGTGGCTGGACACACAAAAAGAAGTTAGTGCTCATTTAAAAATAGGTTTCATTGGAATTAGTAGATAATGAATGAATGAACTTTATTGTTCCCGTGTAAAAAAAGAGTTGGTTACATAGGGTATTTGCAACAATAAAGAATTTTTGTTAACAAGACAATATTTTGAAAATAACTAGAATAAATGTACTTGAAATTTACAAATAAATAAATACACAAATAAATTATTAAAGAAATCTAATCTCTAATTTTGGTCGCAGTTAAAATAAAGTTTGATATCTCTTGTTGAACTAAAATATCTAGGGAAAGTGTCTCCTTAAACAATTTATAAGTATCAAGTCTACTTATGTCTATATGCCATTGTTGAAATTCAATTTCTTTACATCGTTTTCTGAACTCAGATAGAAATTTGGGTTCATTTCCAACTCCCTGGATATACCAAGCCTCAGCAAAACCGTAATTCATTGGATATTTTTTAGTTCATTGACCCAGCAATCAATCCCTTTTTTTTGCCAGATTGCATTGCTCTAGATAACATTGATGTACATACATCTGTTTGTATCCATTTTTAATATTTTTATCCAATATTTTACCATTCTGGGTGACCTTAATGCACGTAAACTAAATCTCTCAAACTCTCCCTGTACTGCAGCATTAGTTGCTGATATATTCCCTTTCAGGATATATTTACAGAATTTGGTATGTATATAGTTGTACATGTAGGATCACAATGACATCTCCTACATGAATATGTAATTCTGTATGGATTCATAACATAAGAAATATATTACATTCTTGTATAAAAATTTATAGTTAACGAGAATTTAATATGTGTTTCTAATTACTAATCATCAATCATGTTTAAATGTGAGTAGCAATGTCTGATTTACATAAATCATTCTTGATAAAAATTTTTTTTATTATTTCCTCCTATGCAATTAATGGTACTTTAATACAAGTAGCTGGTCATTGGTTTACAGGCATTAGTTGTCCCTTTGATGATGCCCAATACCCATTCATTAACCAAAATCATGTGATAGTACATGATTTCATGTGATAGTACATGATTTTATGTGATAGTTCATGATTTCATGTGATGTTACATAATTTCATGTGATGTTACATAATTTCATGTGATGTTACATAATTTCATGTGATGTGTGTATTATGCTTTGATATCTACAGTATTATACAATGAAGATCACATGCAATGTGTTTTTAGCTCCGCTGTTGACTTTGTCGAGCGGAGTTTATCATGTCCACCGTCGTCCGTGTCAGTGTTTTACTTTTTCGACTTCTTCTTGAAAACTACAAGCCTGAATGCTTTGATACTTGGTGTATATGTACCTAGATTTGTTCTTTTCATGATGATATCTTCAATTCTCTAATTTTGATGAATATTTTTGTCATTTTTGGTAAAAAGTGATATTTTCGACTTCTTATTAAAAACCGCAAGTCCAATTGCTTTGATATTACATATATAGGTAGGACATGTGGATCTCTTTCTGATTTGCTCATTTTTTAATGATATCTTCAATTCTCTTATTTTTGTGAATATTTTTGTCATTTTTGGTAAAAAGTGATATTTTCAACTTCTTGTTAAAAACCCCAAGTCCAATTGCTTTGATATTACATATATAGGTACTACATGTGGACTTCTCTCAGATTTGTTCATTCGGGATGATATCTTCAATTCTCTAATTTTGGTGAATATTTTTGTCATTTTTGGTAAAAAGTGATATTCAACATTTGTTGAAAACCACAATTCCGATTGCTTTTATATTACATATATAGGTACATTTTTTTGTACTACATGTGGACTTCTCTCAGATTTGTTAATTTCGTGGTGATCTTCAATTATCTAATTTTGATGATTATTTTTGTCATGTTTGGTGAAAAGTGATATTTTTGAATTCTTGTTGAAAACAGCAAGTCCTGTTGCTTTGATACTATATATATTGTTCATTTTCTAATGATATCTTCTGTTCTTTAATTGAAATGTGCATTGATCACAGTGGCACTATCTCAGCCGACAGGCTGCTTGTTAATCAAATAATATGACAGAATGCAGTGAGGGTTTGAGTGTATAATGCAAACACGTAATACACACTTTACAGACTCACTCACATGTATTAGCATTTGTAATCATGTGCATTTGTGTTTATTTTACAATTCATATGGCTTTAAATACAGGATCTTCCTAATATATAATACCACTTGCATCCTTTATACAAATGTAAGTTATAGTTAAAGTATACTTTAAATCCAACAAGTTTTGCTCTGGGTTATGACATTTGTACACAGAGTTTTTTTAACTGACAGTAAATGGTTACATGCCACTGTATATATACTACATTGCTTTAGTTAACTCTCATTTAATTGTAACATAATAACTACACAAGAGAATAAAATAATGATTAATGTGAAAGTACTGCTATTAGGCTAAGTTAAGGGTATGTATAAAAATGGTAATGGTCATTGTCAAGGAAGTGTCGCTGTTCAAAGTCAGCTATATTAGATTTGTTTATTACGGTAATAATGAAAATTTTGTTTATACTTTGTTGGATATTTTATTTCAACTGTAAAAGTAATAATTAGAATAATAATTGAATACTTGTAATTATACAAATGTTATGATCATAATTATACTCAAAATTAATAATTAAAAAATAAATGCTCTGGTATACAATGTCGCTATAACAGCTGTGAATTTAGCTTGGTTTTATTGCATATTACATAATCATTCAAATTAAAGCACAATAGCTTGGCTCTTAATGTTTAAGTTTTGGTAAAATTCATATTTGAGAAAGAATTAAAACAAGAAAAAAATCTAAATTTACTATTGACAGAGATAGCATAGATTGTAGGTATCTGAGTTTATTATGAAACGAGGTACAACAAAAATACATACCTAATGCCAGACATTATGCACATTAATTAATTTTTAAGCAGAGCTGTTGGTATATGTCCTTCATCATCCTGCATTTCATGTTTGCAAGCGACCAAAAATGTTTGGTTACAATACAAATAAATTGAATTTTACTTTCATTTCATAACAAAAAAACAAACTGATATTCTGTATGCTATTATAATCATAACTGAGTAATGTAATTTTGTCATCCGATCAAAGATAGGTATTTCGACTTGTCCAGAACCAGATCTTGGGCATGTGTATGTTTGATTTTCTTCAAACTTGGTATAAAGAGTAAACATAACAGGAGCTTGATGTATGTCATTTAGTCAACAAAGGCTGGCTAAATTATTCTTATGTGTGTATTGTTTTGAGATTTTACTTGATATACCTATGTTACTATGAGTTTATAATAAAGTATGCGATTTAGTAATTTTATTAGTCACATTGAATATGAATAGGAACAAATCGAATGCATGTACATGTACATTGTACAAAATGTATATACCTGTACTGGTACAGTGTACATGTACATGTCTATCTATTAGTAATAGTACATACATTGTATACACACATCACATTTTCATGTTTTCAAATTGCATGCATTTAAAGAAACGGATTCTGCAACAAAACAACAGCATACCTAAGCATAATCATAATTCTGTTTCAAACATGCAGTATTGAATGAAAATACTAAGCATATTCAAAATTGTTTTACACAGCTGATCTTGTGCTGTTCGAACATGTCTTCAATGGCTCAATTCCAGGATATGCACCACTTGATATTTTATTATTTGTGCTTTAAGTAACAAGTGAATTGGTGTGGCAGTGGGTTGTCTGACAGAATTCTGCCCTTTTTCAAAGAATCACGCAGAGAAATATCAAAAGAGTTTATGAGGTCGTTGCACATTGTGAACTGTTATGTCTCAATGTGTAATCACACAGGTTCAGTTTACAGAGGATTTGCTTAATACAGAGTTCAGTTTACAGAGGATTTGCTTAATACAGGGTTCAGTTTACAGAAGATTAGGTAAATGCAGAGTCCAGTTTACAGAGGGTTTGGTTCATACAGGGTTCAGTTTACAGAGGATTTGCTTAATACAGAGTTCAGTTTACAGAGGATTTGGTTAATACAGAGTTCAGTTTACAGAGGATTTGCTTAATACAGAGTTCAGTTTACAGAGGATTTGCTTAATACAGAGTTCAATTTACAGAAGATTTGGTTAATACAGGGTTCAGTTTACAGAGGATATGGTTCATACAGGGTTCAGTTTACAGAGGGTTTGGTTCATACAGGGTTCAGTTTACAGAGGATTTGGTTCATACAGGGTTCAGTTTACAGAGGATTTGGTTCATACAGGGTTCAGTTTACAGAGGATTTGGTTAATACAGAGTTCAGTTTACAGAGGATTTGCTTAATACAGAGTTCAGTTTACAGAGGATTTGCTTAATACAGAGTTCAATTTACAGAAGATTTGGTTAATACAGGGTTCAGTTTACAGAGGATATGGTTCATACAGAGTTCAGTTTACAGAGGATTTGGTTCATACAGGGTTCAGTTTACAGAGGATTTGGTTCATACAGGGTTCAGTTTACAGAGGATTTGGTTCATACAGGGTTCAGTTTACAGAGGATTTGGTTAATACAGGGTTCAGTTTACAGAGGATTTGGTTCATTCAGAGTTCAGTTTACAGAGGATTTGGTTAATACAGAGTTCAGTTTACAGAGGATTTGGTTAATACAGGGTTCAGTTTACAGAGGATTTGGTTCATTCAGAGTTCAGTTTACAGAGGATTTGGTTCATTCAGAGTTCAGTTTACAGAGGGTTCAGGGTTTGAAGAATTTTAAGTTTCACATAGTTTGACTGTATAATTTTTTTCAACAGATTATTGGGAACTGCTCGAGTACCGCTGAAAGATTTAATGAAATCCAAGAGTCATGCAACACACTGTAATGTCAACTTAGTTGATGGAAGCAAAAGAGCAACTCAGGTCAGTCTTTATAAATTTTGTACAATATAATAGTTTTTAAATAATTAGTTTTTAAAATTGAGTTATTAGAATAAAAGTGACATAGGCTTCTGGGAAAGTTAAATCACATCAAATTGAAGCCATGATCCTAAGTACTGTATCTATCCGTGCTTAGAGTTATAGTGACAATGACAGTATACTGTGTGAATTAACACACAACACTACAATGTATCATTGGAAAATACAAAGTTTACATTAAGGTTCATGAATATTTGACTAATATAGATATGACAATCTATGTAACATGGGAACTTGTCAATTGCTTTATTTTACTACAAAACAAATTATTCTCCTCTCTCTGCGTACTCATTACATTGTCATTGACTATAAAGACACAAACTGACCTCTCCATAGGGACACAATAAATAACACTTTTAACATTATTTTTTGTTACATATTTGTCAATGATAAAACATGGCATGTGTTATTCCATAGAGGGCAGTATTGTATAATTAATAGTCATTATGTATCACTGGAGACCATAGAAACGCAGGAAAGGAGACTGAATTGTATATTAGGGTGTTGTATTATGGGTAATACTGTATCTTGAACTGGAAATGTACCACATGCCTTCCTAAGAAGTCGCATTATTCTATTTCATGCCTACCTAAGGATCTTCCTAGTACATTATACCGTACTTATCCGGGTAAGAGCCCATGCCTGGGCAAACGCCCATCCCCCACTTTTGACACAATAAAGAAGTTGAGGTAATATCCGTCCACATGACCAGGGGGTCTTTTTTTCTAAACAAAACAAAAAAACTATTTTCTATTCGTTGACTGTGGTTATATTAACAGTTGACTTTCTTGAAGTCTGTCGTGATACTTATAAAAATTTTTAATTGCGTAAAACAAGGGGTGAACACAAAATAGCTGTGACAGCTTTCTGCCTTCAGGGCAGCGCGTTCACCGCTGATTTTTTCAGAATCATAACAGTCAGCAAGTCTATAAAAATAAATATTAAAGCAGAAACGGTAGTTCTCTTTTTGAAATATGTTGTGGCCCTAAAAAGGGCCGGCCGTTTGGTTTGTGCTTCCTTAGAAACGATTCAAGCAAATCGAATAAGGAGAGCCGCTAAGCAAGTGTCACACTCGTTCGGCTCACAGGCCTGTGGTTTGGTATTAGCGTTGTTGACAATGAAAACAATGTTGCAATATTGTAGCAACCCATACCTGGGAGAATGGTTGAAATCACATTATTTTGGCTTTATAAATATTTTGTAGCAGCTTGCGAATCCATAACAGGGGCCAGCGATATCCACCATGATATACATATAGTGAGACATTCCAACCGCCGGAACTTGCTGAATGATAACTTTCACCGTGATTAATAAGCGTCGAGTCTGATAAGAAAACAATGTCACGATTTGACCTTTATGATGAAATACTAGTAGTGATGTCATTCTTAGCCAATCAGTAAAGCAGATGCATAAAGATCAAAGATGATTGCTAGACTGTAAACAAAAGCATCGTGTGCCATCGCAACAGAGCGACCCCATTTTCTTGTCTCTTTATTATGATTAGACATGAATGAAAAGTGTCAAGCTGACAGACTGCGAAATCCGTGGATTAAAAGTGCTAAGTCCGAATTGTGTGGGATGATATCGACGAACTTCAGGAATAAGTTGTAGGGATTTTGTTCGACGGCTACAGTGACGCCGACTTGGACATTTGAGGGTTTTGAGTTCGACGAAGATGGCAATGAATGTACAAATAAAGATCTGAGTAGTTTTTTCAAACAGCTATGAATTTTTATAATTTTAACTCTGTAAATTTGTAAATTATTATTGTTCTTGTATGACGGTGGATTCGTAATTTGTCGAAACCGGAAATCATTTTACGCAGTTTAACCCCTGACATTTTAATTCATTAGTTCACTCGTATTGGGAGTGTTTGTCAGTGGAAAAATCCTAATTCAAATGATTTCTCACTGTCGATTTTTATTATTTCTGGTTTATTTGTCACATTATAAGCAATACATTATTTTTGTTTTACTTCTAGTGTTGCATATTGTTCATTTATTTCCGTTGCATGTTTTCATTTGCCATTGTATTCCCTGCCGCAGTTCGATCTGCGTGTTGTAAATTTTCATTTTTTTTCCCGGGGATCTCCTGGCAAACGCCCACCCCTTCTTTTTGTCAATTTTCCATGTTCAGGACCCTGGGCTTATACCCGGATAAATATGGTATATGCCTGCCTAAGAAATCATACTAGTGAATTATACATGGTTACCTAAGGAGTCATACAAGTACATTATACATGGCTGCCTAAGGAGTCATACTAGTAAATTATACATGCCTACCTAAGGAGTCATACTAGTACGTTATATATGCCTGCCTAAGGAGTCATACAAGTACATTATATATGCCTGCCTAAGGAGTCATACAAGTACATTCTATATGCCTGCCTAAGGAGTCATACAAGTACATTATATATGCCTGCCTGAGGAGTCATACTGTACTAGTACATCATACATGCCTACATGTTCTCCCCACACCATATGGCACCAGACAGCCTCGTCCTGGAAAGAGTTGTCCTGGAAAGAGTTGCCGACTGGCACTATTGCATTTGTTTATGATAAACACAGGATATTCACCCACTGGATCATCATTCTATTGTCCTTGTTTGTTTCAACACACAATAACACAATGAAAAAATTAACACAGTTAAATTAACTTTATTGAAACAAGACATCGCTGTTAAAAAACAACATACACGTGTGGCATCGGCCTAATGTGTTTTTGTTTTAACCTCCTATTGACATTCTGTTAGTTTTAACAAACAAACCAGATCAGAATAAGTCATACATCAAGATATTGGAAGGGATGGCAGCGATAAATAAAAACAGAAGGAAGGTTTGCAGTTTAGTTCTGTGTAGGATTTGTTTAGTCAGCGTTATATTCAGTCAACAATACAAGGAATACTTATTTCTCACTATTAATGTGATTTACCAGCATTCCATTAGAAAAGAAAACAGATTAAATTCTTGTTTCTACTTTGGCCGCAACAAACTGACGACATGCTTTAAAAATAAAATGGCTGCCAGGTCGGATGTAAATGTCTCAACGTCTCAGGTTGACGTTACTGCGAAAATAAAGTATATATATATTTTCACTTTAATCAAGATTAATTATAAATTGAAATATTTAAAATAAAAGTCAAATTAATTAAATTAACTAGTAGGATGGCAAAATGAATATTAATTAGCGACCAGCGCCAAATCAGGCTGGGAAGAACCCTGAAGTTAGGCCAACTGATAAAATTGTGCCATTCACATGGAGATCTCGACACGCACCGCGACTCTAGGCTGAGTCGGCTCATGCCAAAAATAAATCAATATCTGTCCCAATAGATGCTCGAGACCAAAAGGTGGCACATGCCGAGATTTGAATTTAAGAGAACATATACTGATTCATGATTGTGTTTCCTTTTTTGTGGTGGTGAGTTGGTGAGGTACATATTGCATTCATGTTGTGTAGTGAATATTGCTGACATTTTGACACTGAATGTTTTTAATTTACAGGCATATATTACACTGCATTTGAAATATGAACCCCCCAAGAAAGCAGGTTCTGGAGACAGTGGTGCTGATGAAGGTGAGATATACTAATGTGCAGTATTCCTTTGTGTATTATTGTTCTTACACCTACAATGTACTCAAAATTGATAGTATGTTGCTTTAAAGTTTAAAAGGTTTCTCGTCATATTGATTTCTCAGATGAAATTCTGAATTGTGATATTTCAAATGTTTTGTGAATTGTCAGATGATCACAAAATGAAAATATTTAGAATTATGAATGCGAAAAAATTAGTACATTTATATTTGTCTGTTTTTGGTAGTTTAATTGTGTATTTGCATTATGTATGGATTGCCTTTTTTGGATACAGTGATATTTATGCTCATGTCTGGTCATTATGTATGGATTACCCTTT